GAGAAGAAGAAGGGAACGAACGAAAGGGTGCGGAAAGATAGTAATCAGACAGAGAAACAAGGAAAGGAAAGGGACAAAAATAAAGCAAGAGGAAGAAACGGGCAAGAACTGGAAACCGATCGTGGTCGATCATATTGTACTAACTACAACGGGAACATGGATTCTGGGGAAAGAAGCTCAAGCCAAGAGCAATCGTTGTAAATGTATCTGAGGATATGAAAGCTACGAGTTTGAGAAGACGTTTCGACTCACCAGGTCCTGTGGTCGGCCGAAAGCCCTGCTGAAGTGCCATGTTGTTGAAGGTGTTCCACGGTGAGAGCTCCGCCCCCATGTAGGCAGGGTAGCCTCCCAGACTGCCGTGACGAGCGAGGGGCGTGGCAAACCCCGCATCACCCCGCCCATTTGGGGAGGAGAGTTGTGCTCCGGGGGTGGAGTTATAGGGGAAGGAGGAAGGGTGAAGAGTGCCTGCTGGTGGGAATCCTGCGGTGGCTACGTCATTCTGGGCGGAGTTCCAGAGGGAGGACGAGGTGGGAGGAGCCATGCTTTGTGTGGGCGTGGTCATGTATTGGACAGGCAGCATGGCGCGGCTGGACGGGACGAACACGGGGCTAGTACCTATGGATATAAACGTTTTTAAAAAATTATTAAATACCTAACCAAATGCTACACACTATTAAACACTAGTTACGTTTTAAGGAACAATATTTGAGAGAGCTAGATCGAAACTGAAAAAAAAGTTGTCTCTAAAGGGTACGAACAATTTAGCCTCCATTCAGATTTGAACCCAGTACCCTCACAAGATGCTTCAATTAGCAATCGTTTTGCGTTGTAAGGGCAGGCTACCACTGTGAAGTAGATGTGCAGTTTTATATGCAACGACAGGAGCAAAGATAGCAACCACAGCGCGAATAACCGCGATAACATTTATAGTAACAACAACAGCAGTAACATCCACACCAATACCATCAACGAAACAACCAACAATTTCTGAAGCAGTATCATCAGCAACAAATGTAACAATTTGCCCCAACAACAACAAACAGCTGCATCTTAGTTTTAGTTTTAGTAGAGGTTTTACGGCGCTCGCAACTGCAAAAGGTCATATGAGCGCCAGAAGATTAGAGGTGTTACAAGAGAGTAACAAACATAAAAAAGAAGAAGGGGAGATAAGAACGACATATGTTTGTTAGGAAAGTAGAAGCAAATCACACCAGAGCACCCGCCCATCACCCACAGCTGCATCGGTAGCAGCGGCAGCAGCAAGACAACTAATAACCACCATGATCGGTGTTAGTGTTTCAGTACACGACTAGATGAGTTAAATTTCTCACCTGAATGCAAGTAGCCGTTGGTCACCGCATCTTGACCATAAGCTGTACCCGTTGGCGCGGGTAGGGTCAGTCCCCCTTGATACATGGCGGCGGATGGATGTTTCTCACGGCCTTCTACAGAAATTCCAGAAAAAGACTCTGTCTGATACCTCGTCACGTCACCACTTCTAGGGTCAGAAATCAAATTGCCTGTTACGTCACTCTCCACAATTCTTACGTCGTTATGGTAACGCGAAACGTCGAGTGAGCAAATGACACCGCTGTCGGCGGATGACGAGGCAGAACTTCGGGAAGATGGCGACGAACTATTTCCGCTTTCGCTATTTACAGAATTCGGGGAATCCCCTGGTCGTAAAGGGCTGTCCGAGTTGGATGGGAGTCTTGTGGAGCCACACACTTCGTGGGTACTTGTCAGAAGATGGGAATGTTCTTGATGTTGTTGCTGTTGATGTTTTTGCAAGTGATTTTGACGCCTCTGTTCTGTCTCAGTGGTTATTGCTGCTGCTACTGCTGCTGCTGCTGTTGCTGCTGTTGTAGTCGCTGCAGTTACGTGGACTGTTTTGCTGTCCAAATGATGGAAGAATGTCTCCACGTCCTGGCTGGGGAGAAGTGGTCCGGGCAGCAGACGTGAACTCAGTGAGAGGCCAGGCTGCTGCATCACCTCAATCATCCACTGGCTCCTTCCGATTCATGGGAGATACTAGGAGGGTGCTTCTGTTCTTCAGCACAGTCTGGAAGGTTCCAGAAGCTTCTATAAATGTCTACTATAATCTTTGAATAGACAGAAGTTCCTCCACTGCAATGTACAGGTTGACATCCGTCTTCCTATTATTCCTGAAAATAACAGTTAAAAAAAGAAGAATTAGAAGTAATCTTCTTAGGGCTTCAAAGCTGGGGG